TATATATATATATATATATATATATATATATATATTGCATCCTGGCATCCTCATCTCTTTCCCCCAATAACAGACTTTAAGAAAAAGAAATCATTTAAGAGATCTCAATGGATTTAATAACAAAAATTCCAAAAGGAGTCCGTGAAATTAATCCAAAAGTCACTCTCACCTATTTCTATATTAAAATGTTAGCTGGACATTCTATTTAAGTTATTCACCAAATAACAGCATCAGTTACATATTCCTGTTATAAATTGAAAGGCAGTTATTCATTGTTTATAGCGATCTGGAATGAAGCTATATAATGTTCCTATTATTTCCTTAGCTTTGGGACTACGAAATGCTTTTCTAATACAGCATGAGAATAGATATCAACAGTGCATAGGAGCCTATTTACTTCAAGCACAAACAGAGGTATCCAAGGTAGGCATTCTACTTTGGAAATGTTTTTTGAAAGCATAAAATGGATCCATGCTTATTGGCCTCTTTGATGGATGAGGTGATACTTCTTGCCTTGAAACAGTGCTGGTGCTTCTCTCCTTAAGAGATGGACCATAATTGGATCCAACAGTTTTCAATAATTATCATCCAGTCTCCTTTTTTTTTTTCTGGAAAAGGTTGTTGAAAAAATAGTTGGGTTTGTAGTTGATGGGAACTTTTGAGGAAATACATTATGTAGACCTATTGTAGTCAGGTTTGAGCCATGATTTAGTATTGACAGCTTGGGTTGTCCTTGTAGATAACATGCAAAGAAAAGATGGTTAGTGCATCCATGTGCTTCTTGAACTTTCAATGGTTTTTGATAGTGCTGACCATGATATTCTTCTTCATGCTTCCCTGGGCTACGGATGGTGACATCATTTCTCCTCCTTTTTCTAGAGCCAGCTCCAATCAGTATTGCTTAGGAGGGGTGGGGGAAGTGATCACTCTTTTTCTTTTGTAAGGTGCCAGTGTTTTACTGTCCCTTCTTTTTCAAATTCCACATGAAACTGCTAAGTTTAGTACCATCACTACATGGATAATGCATAATTATATCTCTTGACCCTGGGCTGGCCAAGTTAAGGTTCTGTCCCAATTGAGTCTGTGCCAGGTTGGATGGAGGGGGATTCACTCCTATAAAGACCAACTTGCTCTGAGTACTTGGGCCACTATGATCTTAAGTTATTCATCTTTGACCTTGCATGGGATTGTACATTAGGATCTCAATGAGCATGTGGCTACTGTGACCAGAAAGTCCTTTGCACAGCTTCACCTGGCACACCAATTATGATGCCCTAGATCAAGAAGACTGTCAGACAATCATATGCTCAACATTTCATGACTTCACTATTGTACATTGTACGTGAGGTTGCCCTCAAAGATCACTCAGAAGCTTCAACTGAGCCAGAGAAGTGCATGGACAGTGATGACATTGCCTCAATGTGCCATGTTAACACCTCTGCTTTATAAACTGCACTTGTTGCCTGTTGCTATTCCTATAAACTCATAATTATTATCTCCTACAGCATTTGCTCAGCCAATTCAATCTCTCTCTCTCTCTCTCTCTCTCTCCCTCCCTGCCTCCCTCTCTCTCTCTCTCTGATGTTTTTATTTGTGAGCTACCCAGAGTCATTGGGAGTTAGGTGGCATACAAACTCAATAAATTAATTGTAAAAAATAATTTAAACCGTTTGCTTTTTTTTCTCAGAAAACATGGATATCCCAGATGGAAACAACAATCACCAACTATATAAGAAGAAATAATCTTTCAAAAACATTTTTCAATACACTTGCTGAATCCTCTGAAATTTAACTGTAACTTGTAATATTTCTACTTTTTAATGTTTTTGAATATTTAAAAAATGTTGAAATGTTTTTGAAACCTTTCTGAAATGGGAGTATTCTTCAGTTAGAGCAGAGTTCAGAGGATAACTCATATGAACATATGCAAACATCAATGTTACTATGACCTTTAGTTCATCTGCATTTACTAATAAACATAAATGGGGGGAAAATCGGAATATTAAGTTCCATTAAACTAACATTCACACTTAATTTTTCATCAAACTAACCATAATAGCATTATACCGCTTGTCAAAAAGAGCAAAAACATCCCTAAGTGCATAATATGATCTGCCTAAAAATTATAGTGACAATAAAAAAACCTGAAGATAATAGTGATGAAGACAAAGCAGAGATGAACTAGTGAGAAAGAAAATATTTTTATAATACACAAGGCTAATGTGACTACAAAAACTAAAAAAATCATTGGAATTCATATGGTGTAGATTAATTTAATTGTATTTGTCAATTGTTATAATAAACTAGACAAAGAAAAATTGGTACCCAGCAGAGACGTCCTGGTAGAACTTTCATCTAGCTGAAAAAACTTGATTCTACTTTTTGAGATTTTTAAATTTAGAAAAAAATTAAATGATCTAAAACAGTGTCAAGTAAAACTCAATTTAATTTCAGAACTATGACCTAAAACCTTCATATAGCTCCAGAAGCCCTGATTCTTCCTTTCTGCACTAGAGATACTCAGGCATAAAGGAGATAGAGGGCTTTTTTAAGAGGCTCAATTTTTTTTATAGAACTATTAGCAGATGGATTCATGATGTTTTGAAATGTGTGTATCTTGATTATCATCAGACATTGGAAGAACAGCTCATTTGCTAGGATTCATTTGCAACACTGATGATTGTAAAACAGAATTGTTCTGTTATAATGAATTAACAGGGCTTTATGGTTGCAAGGTTTTTCTGAAACAACCATGCTAATAGAAAATGGAATAGAAATGCCACAGAATATGAATTATGTGTTAGTAACAAATTTATTAGCATGAGTAAAAAGAATCTGACAGATATTTGACAACCAAGTTAACTGGAATTTCTCAAGTTGAAAATTACTTCAAAGCCACAGGTAGAAATAATCTGATATATAATGGCAGTTAATGACTTTTGTTTTATAAATTAAAATGTTTTTATTAAAGAGTTCATCAGGTATTATTTATGAGTGAGTGATCTACTAGGCAGCACTTAAGTAACTCTGGCTCATTTTGAGAAGCTAAGCAAGATCCAACCAATCTGTTCTTTTGGATGGAAAACCATTGGGAAATACCAACGTTTAGGGGAGACTAAAATCTAAGGGACTGGTTTGAACAAAACTCAATAGCACTTTTCATGTGGCTATTGATAAAAATAGGATCACCAATGTCTGATGACAGATATGGCACATAAAAAAGGGGAGAAAAAGGGGGCGGGGGAGAGAAAGTCTTGGATGAAGACAATGGGAAATCACTTTTGTATTCAAAATTATTTACAATCCTTGAGGCCATACAAATACAGTATGTCCAAAAAGTTGTTAAGATGAATATGACTCTTTTTAAGGTTGATTGGTAATCCAGCACACATACTATTATTTAAACATGCAAGATCCATTATAAATCTTCTATTATGTCTTTTTACTTTTTAAAAATATGATGCATCACTCATTGTGTCCATTCATCCCTCTTAGCAATTAATAAAGGACGCTATGGGATGCTAGTCAAAAAATGTTTTGGTGAAAGTGGTACTAAAAATTCATTCATATAACTTGGGCAATAAGACTCTGAACTAATTAACTTCCCTTATTGGCTCTCTAGTTCATAAAACACATCCATTTGGGATATTGGTTCTATAGACTTTTATAGCACTATAGACAACACATAACCTTGTGGATCATGGTTTCAGAGGTATTTCCTTACTGAAACAAAAGGCCAAGGGAAAAAATAGCAGATGAGAAAGTGACTTCCAATTTCCTGCCACCTTGAATACAGCTGACTGCTCTTTGGCAGCTGATGATGGGGCTGGTCTACATGATCTGCAGAAAGCTGATGTTCTGAAACTCCATACAGCACTGAAGTGACCATAAATTTGCCAAATTTCAATCCCAGAGAAGTCAGGGATCCCAAGCTTTGAATGCATTCTGTAAATCATCTGAACTGCAAGATGATAAATAAATAAGTTATCTCAAATAAGTCTGAGGTACCTTAGTTCAAAAATTGTTGCCCTATAATGCATTGTTGCATCTAATTAAAGACTACAAGACACAATAGTTTTAATAATATACAGATTTAAATTTTTATACAAACTATTAAATCCAAGGAACTCAGTGAAAATGATCATCACTTAAAACAGCAATTTTATAATACGGAATAAAGCAGGAAATTCAATCTTGCCACAACCAAAATATGAAATAGTTGAAGCATTCCACTAATATTTGGAGATGAATAGGTTTGACATATACAGCAGATAGCTTGTCATACCAGCACCAAAACAGTCATTGCAAACAGTCTATTAGAAATTTCTAATTTTATTTTCAGCCCAATAATAGAATACAAAAGTAATATTTCCATAAGTATCCACCCATGGGTTTCATACAGAATTAGTGATTGTGTGGTGTCATTTTTCTCACTACTCAGCTTCCATCACTTTCCAAATGCAGAGTTTAGAAATTACAGTGTATACTGAACTAAACTCTTTAACATTATAAGGCACGACTACATGACTACAAGTCATAAACACATCACTCAGACTTAAGAGAATCCACCTGATAAAAATTGCCATGCAAGACTATCTAAAGATAATATGAATGTAAGGATCCACTTGAAAAAGGAGTGCAATCTTATGTAGATAAAGCGACCTTAATACATCTGTAAATTTAAGCACAGAAATTCTTCAAGTCTAATTTATACAATATACAGACCCCACCCCAATAAACATTATGCACAATATTCACATCTGCAACCATAATAAACCAATAGTTAAAAAGAGGCCAATCAGACAATACAATTTGTGGCACACTTCCATTATAGCATAATAGCAGTTGTCAATTTCTTGTCATGAGGACTGGAAATCGAGACTAACTTAATGACATGTAAATATTAACAGCAGCCAATGTGACACATACAGCTGATATAGATCAAACATAATTAGGAACAGTTGTATAATTTATTTTTTCGCCAACACCTACAGGTTTGTAGAATTAAAGGAACCTAGAGTATAGATTTATAATAACTGTAAGTCACATAAGCACACATACTGAAATACTACATTTTTGGTGAATCAAAATGTTTTAAAATTTGGCAGTAATCACAAATCAAACCTAACATCATAGCGAGGGAACCATTTAAAAATGGGCTCAAGTGGAGTTTTTTATCAAGAGGTAGTTAAAATGAAATCTTACATAGTGGCATTCTTAGACTGGGCTTTTTGTGTGTGTTTTTAAAATAATTTTATTACAAAAGTGATAAATCCTATACAAGCAGCATTTTGGATAGATTTCTATTACAAAATGTTTCTTTGTTTATTAACCTGATGAAACAATATTTTTTCTTTCTCTTTGGTGCAAAGAGTTTGGATTTAACCACATAGTACAATGTAGGTAGCATGAAAGCTATTCAGATATGCCACAGTAATCAACAACATATACTGTATTTGAAATTTATAAATTCTCAACGCCAATTACAAACTTTATTCATGAGTTTTAAAGAGATCACAGGAGAAAAACAAATCTCTGCTGAATGGCGTTGCCTACCACACAAACTATTTTTCTCATGACTTTTTTTCTGTGTGCCTGCTATCAAATGATTACATACTGAGGCGAGCAGTTAATGTTAAATTTGGTCAGATTTATTTATTTTTTAACTTCTAAACGGAACGTAAAATGAACCACTTCTAAGTTTTAAAGAAACAATAAAATACTAACATTTCTGTTCGTAAGTAGGGAACTTCCTTTTCTGTTTATTGCTGTGACCTGGAAATAGATCACCTAAATAAATGTTAATGTAATTTAATAAGAAAACAAATGTTTATATAGGAATAATGAAAGCCACTGAGAACATGAAATGTGCAAAATTGCCAAGTCCACTTTTTCTATTCTTAAAATCAAGCAGTGCTGCTAAAGAACATGCAAACTTCTTTAGTATACACTATGTATACTAAACTATGTATCCTCTGGAATACATAAAAATTATGAATATAATATTCCTAAACACCATATGAAATTACCAGGGAATTGAATGAGCACTTAATTAAGAACGTACAATTTTGTAGACCAATTACTGCATCACTTCTTGCAAACATTTGTTCCTTCTCTTGCATATAGTGTTGGTTACACTAAAAAGTGCATAGTGCAAGTGACAATGCTATACCTTGCTCTTCCTGAGTTTTCAATGTTTAAACTATCAGATAAAACCTCATTTCTTTTCTCTGGACAAGCTGAACTTTTATCCATATGTGTGTGAATGTATGTAAAACATCTAGGGACTGCAACAAAAGCAAATTCCCACTTAAATGATGGGCAGATAGTTTGCTTGTTTTTAATATCCTTTTAAAAATACCTAGAAAAAAATGCAAGTAAGAGATACAACCTTGGAAAAGAATTCCTCTTTATCTTATATATATAGGAAACCATTTCCAAAATGACACTTGCTACAACACATACAAGCATCATCTTTAAAAAATATTACTTCCCCCGGTGAATCAGTTTCTTTATCTGCTAATTTATGAGATGAAGAGTTCCTTATATAACTTCCTTATATCAACTAAGATAAATCAGAAGATAGCCCCAATAAACTTCAGTTCCTAGCATGAATACTTCATATTTTATCTTTTTCCAAATTAGAGTAAAATAATAATGAATAAAACCACTGGATAGCATCTGAATTGTATTTCTACTGTAGAATCTATGAATAGCTAACGTGGAAGATTTGACTTCTGTACGTTATATTCATATTTGAACATTTTTACCTTATGCCGATTCATAATCTTTAAGACTCTTAATCTATTGATATAAAATTGTATAGTTCACAACTAATTTTTCTCCAGGATTTCAGACAAGAAAAAATAGTATGTAAACCCTAGTACCAGTACCTGTGAATTTATTATTTGGAGATACAAGTAGTAGACCTAGAATCTTCTACGTGAAAAGCCCTCTCTTTCAATATATCTTTATTAAACTATTTGTGTTACTTTTTTTCTTACTTCCA